GATGATATTAGTCCTTTGCATTTATATTAGATAATGTGGAACTACAGTATGTAAAGTTGTAGTGTCAGACTACACCCTCCTGGGGACACTTAGACATGTCACAGTATTGTAGCCACATAAATCTTCTACTGAGTCATTTTGACATACCTTTTGATCACATTACATTAAAAACATATATCATGAGAATCAATATCTTTATTTACAGTTCAGACATCAATCTCAGTACTGCAGAGTGAACCGCCATGTTCCACATCTGGCCATGTATTTTGATGGCCAAAGTGACCTCCGTCCTGACTTCCGCCTCTCCAGACCCACCATACTCCACCTTATCGACATCCTGCGCTCACCATCTGACACGGCTGGGGATTCGATCTGGAGATTCTTGTTTTTTGTTTTGGTTGGTAAGCGCCACGTCTTACTGCGTGGTTTCGAGCCTTTGACATTCCACGCTCAACTGTACATGACATTGTACACAGGGTATCAAAGAAAGTAATCGGGCTAAAGAACAGGGTCATCTACTTGCCACCCCAAGATGACCTTGCAAGAATTGGTGCAGGCTTGAAAACCTGGCAGGATCCGTGGCTTTCAGTCGTGTTGTTGGCAGCATCGATGGCTGCCACATAAGAATTAAGCCTCCAAGTGATGACGCTCAGTGCTATTTTAACAGACAATTGTTTACTCAGTGCAGATGCAGGCTGTGTGACACCAGTGTCAATTTTAGACATATTTATTGGGTATCCAGGGTCAGTACATGACTCAGGGTTTTAAAAAATAGCCCACTCTTTGTACAGAGCCTGTTCCCACCTGAAGGCTACTGTATTTTGGGTGATATCCCTGTGTGTCACGGCCAGTCACCCTAATAACACCATACAGGGAGCCTGTGAGAGGTGCAGTGGCAGCTCGATTTAACAGGCACCATTCAAAGGCCGTTCAGTTATTGTCAGGGTTCGAGAAAAACTAAAAGGAGACCCAGATGCAGATTTAACAAAAAATATTTATTTAAACAAAAGGCCAAAGACAAACACACAACTTACTACAGTAGAAAACTAGCCACGAGGAAACCACAAGTAACACTAGAGCACGAGGAAAACAGACATCTACTGACACTGATAACTGACATACAAACAACAATGAACTGACACAGAAGGGAAGAAACACAGAGACTAAATAGACATGGGTAATCAAACACAGGTGAGTCTAATAACACAGGTGAAGACAATCAAGGCAGGGAGAAACACTGAGGACAATACAAAATAAATCATGAAACACTAAAGACACACAGAACTCAAGAGTCTAACAAACACACTAGAACACGAGGATAATAAATGACAAAATAAAACAGAAAACACTGAAGACAAAACTAGGAACCATCAACACTAGGAAACATTAACACACAAGGGAAACAAGCAACACTGGGGTAAAACAGGGAAACTCAAATTCAAAACCAAATCATGACAGTTATCGAGCGGGCCTTTGGTATTATGAAGGCTAGATGGCGCTCCGTCTTTTTCAAGGCCCTAGAAGTGAGCCCTGTGTTCTCTGTGGAGGTGGTGGCTTGTTGTGCCATCCTCCACAATTTCTGCCTCAGGGATGGCGACACAATTGAGCCAGTTGAAGAGGCACTGAGGCCGGTTGATGGAGACGGCCAGCTTCAGCCTGACTCGCAGTGTGGGGAGCAGCTGCGTGGACGCATGGCTGCTGCTCTTTCAGCCCGATTGAAAATCCGCCAGCTCTGGATGATCATGACTACAATTAAGAAAAAAATACAGCAATATTTTTGTTAAGACTTGAATTCAAGTAAATAGTTCAATATTCATATAAGTGTTAATAGTTATAAATATGTAGTTATTAGTAGTTATCAGTTATTTATAAAATCTTCTTCCTTCTTTCTTAAAAAATAGCCGAGATGTTGTATCAGTTACTTTAAAATCAGTTCTTTCAAGTTTCAATGTTGTGATGTTGATGGTAAAAACTGATTCATAAAACATTTATTTTAATGTGCAGATTTTAATTGTATCACATTTTTTCTATAATCTTTTCCATCAAACTCAACAACCTTTCCTCCCTGGCCTCATCTCTCCTAACTCTCTCTTCCGCCCTTTCTTCTGCCCTCTCCAAAAAGTTAAGGATGTTGTCACCACCACCACATCTCTGCCTCCTCTGACCCTCTCCCTGGCTCTCTCTCAGTGTCAGATGGCACTGAATCAGGGGATTCTGGCTGGGACATGGAAGAGTTCTCTCCCCATGCTGAGGCAATGAGGCATGGAGGCCTTATGGATGGCCTCCCACCTATTGCCTCATCCATGAGGGAGAACCACTTCCATGTCCCAGCAGTGGCCTCCCCTGATTCAGTGCCACTCCCTGTGAGCTCCTGCACACAATCACATACATATCAACTATTAGCTATGCACAATTATACATGTTAAAGTCAATTTCAGATTCCGAATACAACATAGGAAGATACTAAAGGAGAACATGAAGTGCCATTTTTAATCTAAACTTTAATTATCCAGGGCTACAGTTAAATACAACAAATACAAACCTTGTACGTTTTCTTCAAGTTCTCCCACTTTTTATCCGCCCGAGCAGGACTGACTCGATCAGACAGCAGCATGTCTTTCAGCAAAGTTCTTCAAAATGTAAAGAAAACATATAAATATATTACACAATAGCCTACAAAGTGTCTCAAAATCATGAATAACTATAGCCTACTAGAAAGCTATAAGTCAAGAACATTTTACCTCCAATATAATGACACATCACAATAAGAAAGCTATTAATAATAATGAAATGTCTCACTCCCATCCTGCAGCAGCAGCAAACCGCCTCCCGCTGAAGGGGTGGTCCTTCTCCCTCCTCAGCCGGATCAGCTGGGCTACATCGTCATCAGTCCCTGAACAGAATAAGATCAATTTTGCTCCGGTACTTTAGTGAAATGCCAATGCAATTTACCGCTGACGCTAGTTAGCAATGCTAACATGCTACTAATGGTGGCTAAAAGATAGCTAAAGGCTAATGCTAGCTAGCTGGGTTTTTACCGTAGAGGCGTAATTATAGTACCTGTGATATACAAGTTATAACGTGTCTCATAATCCTGAAAAACGGAAATCCAAAGTGAAACAATCGTCGAACATTTTAAAAGTCAGCTCCCGCTGCACGCTTTCGTGGTCCTGTCTGTCGGCCATTTCTTCTGTTTGAACCGCAATGCATGATGGTATATATTGCTCGCATAGTGACCATCGCTCATACACTACTTTTCAAAATGCATTGTGGGATACATTGAGTGGACTATATAGGGTATGACCATGCTCACTCAGAATTCGGACTGCACTACAAAATGGCGTGTCCACTACATAGTGGATAGGGAGTGATTTCAGACACAGCCCAGGTGTTCAGGATCCAGGTGTTCAGGATCCAGGTGTTCAGGATCCAGGTGTTCAGGAACCAGGTGTTCAGGAACCAAGTGTTCAGGATCCAAGTGTTCAGGATCCAGGTGTTCAGGATCCAGGTGTTCAGAATCCAGGTGTTCAGGATCCAGGTGTTCAGGATCCAGGTGTTCAGAATCCAAGTGTTCAGGACCCAGGTGTTCAGGATCCAGGTGTTCAGGATCCAGGTGTTCAGGAACCAGGTGTTCAGGATCCAGGTGTTCAGGATCCAGGTGTTCAGGAACCAGGTGTTCAGGATCCAGGTGTTCAGGATCCAGGAGTTCAGGATCCAGGTGTTCAGGAACCAGGTGTTCAGGAACCAGGTGTTCAGGATCCAGGTGTTCAGGAACCAGGTGTTCAGGAACCAGGTGTTCAGGATCCAGGTGTTCAGGATCCAGGTGTTCAGGAACCAGGTGTTCAGGAACCAGGTGTTCAGGATCCAGGTGTTCAGGATCCAGGTGTTCAGGAACCAGGTGTTCAGGATGAAGGTCTTCAGGACCAGGTGTTCAGGAACCAGGTGTTCAGGATCCAGGTGTTCAGGATGAAGGTGTTCAGGATCCAGGTGTTCAGGAACCAGGTGTTCAGGATCCAGGTGTTCAGGATGAAGGTGTTCAAGAACCAGGTGTTCAGGATCCAGGTGTTCAGGAACCAGTTGTTCAGGAACCAGGTGCTCAGGATCCAGGTGTTCAGGATCCAGGTGTTCAAAATCCAGGTGTTCAGGATCCAGGTGATCGGGATCCAGGTGTTCGGGATCCAGGTGTTCGGGATCCAGGTGTTCGGGATCCAGGTGTTCAGGATCCAGGTGTTCAGGATCCAGGTGTTCTGGAATCAGGTGTTCAGGATCAAGGTGTTCAGGATCCAGGTGGTCAGGATCCAGGTGTTCAGTATCCAGGTGTTCAAGATCCAGGTGTTCAGGATCCAGGTGTTCAGGATCTAGGTGTTCAGGAACCAGGTGTTCAGGATCCAGGTGTTCAGGATCCAGGTGTTCAAGAACCAGGTGTTCAGGATCCAGGTGTTCAGGAACCAGTTGTTCAGGAACCAGGTGTTCAGGAACCAGGTGTTCAGGATCCAGGTGTTCAAGATCCAGGTGTTCAGGATCCAGGTGTTCAGGATCCAGGTGTTCGGGAACCAGGTGTTCGGGAACCAGGTGTTCAGGATCCAGGTGTTCAGGATCCAGGTGTTCAGGATCCAGGTCAGGTCCTCAGATTCATGAACTCCAAGTTACTAAAAACTGGTGACCTGATTCAAAGGATGATGATGATGAAGTATCATTAGCTGTTGTTTATCATTGAATAATAATATATTCATAAAGCTCCAGATTAAAAAAGTGTTAGCTCATGACTCCTTCCATAAAGAAGAGGTGTAGACTGTACTCTGTGTAATATTATCATCATCTTACTGACATTAATGAAGCATCTTTATTTCACTTCATACTACTTCTCTTTCCTGTCTGAACTTGTTGGATGTCTTTTCTTTTGAAATGTCTGTTTAACTTTAGCTCTGATAAAAACACCTTTGTTCCCTGTAAACTGAGTATTTGATACGAGACAATGAGAATGAAGTCGACCTCGTACCTGGTTTGAAGTGGTTCTGTAATCATGTGATCAGTCAGCATGGCGACAAAATAAATCTTCCATCGTCATCGGAAACTGAACACACGTAATAAATGTAACAGAGTTAGAATGAACCTCTTTTGAATTTCTACAAAATTAATGTGTCTGTCATATTTATGTTTCTTTGTTGCCGCCTGGTGGTCTAATAGCGCAACTGTAGGGCTCCTAGCTGGCCACCGTACGTACCTCAGCAAAGGAATCTCTCCTGAGCTGAAGGTGGGTGTGTGTGTTAAGTGCTGCGACCAACATATCTCTGTTTAATGGTTTAAAACTGTTCCAAAAACTTTAGGTAAAATGTATTTTGTCCATGAACCCGTTTAGAATGTACTGTTAGAGTTTTGGACATTTATGTGTAGAAATGTTTATTTTATTTTACGAGTTTCAGTTTGTTTACATACCGAGCTAATGCTAGTTAGCTTACCAGTTAGCTGCTTCCTCGTGGCCGTGATGCTCACGTTAACGCTCACGTGTGCGTGTTTTTGTGTTATACAGATGTGAGTCCTTGCAGTTGCATATCAATGCTGATTGTGTGCTTTTGTATTATACACCAGGTAGGCATGGTTAAATTAGTTTTACATAAAACGTGAACTGTAAATTCATGTTGTTTGTGTTAATTGTAAAAAGCTATAAAATGCACTTCATTGATGGTTATGTGTTAAAATGATCTTGGTATGTTTATATACAGATAAAAATTGAAAATGCTCTTATTTGGTACTCAAAGACAGTAAAATTCCACTATACGATCACTTGTGCTAAAAATGTATTTAATTGATATGATTTCAGGATGTTATGTAAAAATACTCTTAAAAAGAAAAAGGAATCTCTCCTGAGCTGAAGATGTGAGTCCTTGCAGTTGCATATCAATGCTGATTGTGTGCTTTTGTATTATACACCAGAATAAAAAGGAAAGAGATCCAGAGTGAGAGCAACTCCGGCTGTTGTGGCGTTCTTCCTGCACCATAAACATCTGAGGCAGACACACACCCTCCATAGTCCAGCAGAGAAACACAACCGGTTACATAAACGCATCGGAAACGACTTCCTGGAAAACGAATCATTCAATGTGGACGTGACGTTCCTTCACACTCTGCAGGTGAACATTTGACCAATCAGATGAAGCCTCAGCTTGTTGTACATTTAGTGCTGAGAGCGAGGTTAGCTAACACGATGGCTGAGGCAGAGAGAAGAGCGAGGACGATGATGATGATGATGATGATGATGAAGACATGGTGCTGAAAGAGAACAGCGTACCAAAGAGTGTTCAGGCTGCAGCTTTCAGCCTCTCTATCAGGATGAATTGCTGCAGCATGCGTGCATGTGGTGGCGCTGTGTACACCTCCATAGCTCATCAGTGATTTCTCTGTGAAGATTCTCTTTCTCCTCTGCTGCTCATCGTTTGACTCGTTCCTTTGATTCACATAGTTTCAATATGAATATATTCTGTGTGCTACCACTACAGGGCACTATAACCATGATATTTATCCTGATGTAAGACAGGAAGCTGCTTCTTCTAGACCATGCCTCCTGATGACATCACTTCCTGTGCTGTGATCTGAAAGTATGAGCTATGAGACAGAAATAAGTCCTACCTGTGTTCTAAGTGAGAGCACACTGAGACGGTCACAAAGAGCGTCCACACAGCACTGCTGCTGATTGGACTGATTTCAGATGGAGTAGAGACGACGTGGTACGTACAAAGATACCGTATAAAACATGCAGAGCAGCAGGAAGACACACTCACTGTAAATATAGCTGTAGAGATATAGCAGGCCTTAGCATTAGCTTCAACACCTGTTGTTACTGTGAGGAACAGAAGGTGACTAAAGCATCAGGTATGAATAATGAGGGCCTGAACACTGTATGAGCACATTATGAAGCTAACATTAGCAGCACCATGAACTAGCTGGCTTCAGTAGCTAACTACAGCTACACAGTTAAAACTTCTTCACACACACACACACACACACACACACACACACACACACACCTCCATGTTTACCTCCTTCAACTTATCCCACAAATAATCTCTATAAACACACATTATTAATGCACATCTGTAGAGCAGGGAGCAGATGGTTACTGTCTCTCCATGTTTTTATGGTCATACGAGCCAACAGAGACTAAACGCAGTGACTCCATATTTGGTCCAAACTGAGTTCACGTTTGCTTTACTTTAAAAACAGATCAGAGCAGAGAAGAGTTTCATTTCTGTGAAAAGTGTTTTTTAAATGTGTTGTGACTCAAACTGCAGTGACTGCACTCTGACTGTGTCATCTGTCATCTACCTGCCAGCTTCACATTCATTCAGCTAAATACACATCTGAAGCTACACACCTCAACTTTCATCAAGGCTAAGCTAGCTGCTCTCATAGCACAGTTAGCCTTAGCTACAGCTGCTACTAAAGCTGCTAGCTTAGCTGCTAACTGATCTCCCCCTGGCTGTTATCTGGAAATAGAAACTATATTCTTGATAAACTCACATCTTGTGTGTTCAGTCTGTTTTTCTACACGACTAAATGAAGCAGCAGCTAAATGTGATCATGATGAGAACAGTTCAACTGCTGTTAAAGATAACTAGCTTAGCATAGATCTCAGTGACCTTTGACTGGAGGGGAATTCATGTGATTTGGTGCTTAAACTACCTCTAAATCATAGATTTAAATATAATGATGTGTTGATTTATTCCATAGAAATATGACTCAGAGATACATTCAGACTGTAGATCAACAGTTTGTGGTTGTAGCAGCTTCTATATCACTGATGTTCACACAGTAAATGGACCTATTACAGCCTCTCTACCTGTTTGTCTCCATGGAAACTTAAAATGCTTTTTCCTGTGCTGTGACTGTAGTTACTGCTCTCTGCCTCTAGAGGGCAGTATAGCTCTGTACACCTCCAAACAAACCTGAGTGTAGTGAGGAGACAGACTCTTGGCTCAGCTCATAAAAGTCTCAGACAGGCCGAGTCACAAAGAACTGACCAATGAGAAACAAGTGAATCTTCATATGTGTGTATGAACTGCTGTGAATTTAGACTTCTTCTTCTGTGGTGACACAATGTGAAATAACTCCAGTTCATCATGAAGTGAACACAATACATCAGTGGAGTGTGCTGGAGGTGATATCAGCTTCCTGTTCACTGTGAGTCACATCTAACACTCTTACCTGTGCTGAGTTCAAGGCCTGCATGGATCGTCTGTAAAAAACAGAAACAACTGTTAGA